ATTTGGGGGTTTTTAATTTGTGGAAAAATGGGGGATTTGAGGGTCGTGAATTGATGGGAAAATCGGGATTTTGGGGTCGTTAATGGATGGAAAAATCAGGATTTTGGGGTCTTTTATTTCTGGAAAAATCGGGATTTTGGGGTCGTTAATTAATGGAAAAAAATCGGGATTTTGGGGTCGATAATTAATGAAAAAAATCTGAATTTTTGGGTATTTTATTGCTGGAAAAATTGGGGGATTTGGGGTCTTTAATTAATGGAAAAATCGGGATTTGAGGGTCTCTAATTAATGGAAAAATCGGGATTTGAGGGTCTCTAATTAATGGAAAAATCGGGATTTGAGGGTCTCTAATTAATGGAAAAATCGGGATTTGAGGGTCTCTAATTAATGGAAAAATCGGGATTTTGGGGTCGTTAATTAATGGAAAAAAATCGGGATTTTGGGGTCGATAATTAATGAAAAAAATCTGAATTTTTGGGTATTTTATTGCTGGAAAAATTGGGGGATTTGGGGTCTTTAATTAATGGAAAAATCGGGATTTTGGGGTCTCTAATTAATGGAAAAATCGGGATTTGAGGGTCTCTAATTAATGGAAAAATTGGGAATTTGGAGTCTTTAATTCCTGGGAATATTGGAGATTTTTTTGGTCTTTAATCAATGGTAGAATCAGGATTTTGGGGTCTTTAATTCCAGGAATATTTGGGGATTTGGGGTCGTTAATTTGTGGAAAAATTGGGGATTTGGCGTCTTTAATTAATGGAAAAATTGGGGGATTTGGGGGTCATTAATTCGTGGAAAAATCGGGATTTGGGGGTAATTAATTCCTGGGGAAAATCAGGATTTTGGGGTCTTTAATTCCTGAAAAAAATGAGGATTTTGGGGTCTTTAATTAAAGGAAAAATTGGGGATTTGGGGTCTTTTATTCCTGGAAAATTTGGGATTTTGGAGTCTTTAATTTGCGGAAAAATTGGGAATTGTGGGTCCTTTAATTCCTGGAATTTTTTGGGGGCTGGAATTTTAAGGTCTGGAATTATTTGGGGGCTGAATTTGAATTTTTTGGGATTTTGCAGGCGATGGATCCGTGGGGAGAGGAGGAAGAGGAGGAGGAGGAGGCGGAGCCGGAGGTGATTTTTGGGGATGAGGGGGAGGAAGATCCCGACGACCCCAACGGAATCCAGGGTGAGTTTGGGAAGGGGGAAAATCCCATAAAAAAGGGGGAATTCCCTTGGAAAATGGGAAATCCTGACAAAAACACCAGGAAAAAATGGGGAAAATGCCACAAAAAATGGGGGAAAATCGCACAAAAAATGAGGAAAAATCCCATTAAAAAAATGTGGAAAAACCCCACAAAAAAAAGGGGAAAATTCCACAAAAAATGGGAACAAATCTCATAAAAAATGCGGAAAATTCTACAAAAAATGGGGAAAATTCCACAAAAAATGGGGCCAAATCCCACCAAAAAAGGCGAAAATTCCACAAAAAATGGGGGAAAATCACACAAAAAATGAGGAAAAATCCCATTAAAAAAGGGGGAATTCCCTTGGAAAATGGGAAATCCTGACAAAAACACCAGGAAAAAATGGGGAAAATGCCACAAAAAATGGGGGAAAATCGCACAAAAAATGAGGAAAAATCCCATTAAAAAAGGGGGAATTCCCTTGGAAAATGGGAAATCCTGACAAAAACGCCAGGAAAAAAATGGGGGAAATGCCACAAAAAATGGGGGAAAATCACACAAAAAATGAGGAAAAATCCCATTAAAAAATGCGGAAAATCCCCACAAAAAAAGGGGAAAATTCCACAAAAAATGGGAACAAATCTCATAAAAAATGGGGAAAAACCCACAAAAAAAAAAAAAAGGAGACAAATCCCACAAAAAATGGGGCCAAATCCCACAAAAAATGGGGAAAATTCTACAAAAAAATGGGGACAAATCCCACAAAAAAATGGGAAAATTCCACAAAAAATGGGGGAAAATCACACAAAAAATGAGGACAAATCCCATAAAAAATGGGGGAAATTCCACAAAAAATGGGGAAAATTCTGATTAAAAAATGGAGACAAATCCCACCAAAAATGGGGAAAATTCCGCAAAAAAAATGGGAAAATTCCTCAAAAAATTAGGAAAACGCCACAAAAAAATGGGGAAAATTCCACAAAAAATGGGGACAAATACGATAAAAAATGGGGAAAATTCTGATTAAAAAAAGGAGATAAATCCCACAAAAAAAGGGGAAAATCACACAAAAAATTGGGAAAATCCCATAAAAAATGGGGAAAATCCCATAAAAAAGGGGGAAAATTCCACAAAAAATGAGATAAAATCTCATAAAAAATGGGGGGAAATCTGCAAAAAAATGGAGACAAATCCCACAAAAAAAGGGGGGAAATTCCAGAAAAAAAAAACCACAAAAAAAAAAAAAAAGGAGACAAATCCCACAAAAAATGGGGCCAAATCCCACAAAAAATGGGGAAAATTCTACAAAAAAATGGGGACAAATCCCACAAAAAAAGGGGAAAATCACACAAAAAATTGGGAAAATCCCATAAAAAATGGGGAAAATCCCATAAAAAAGGGGGAAAATTCCACAAAAAATGAGATAAAATCTCATAAAAAATGGGGGGAAATCTGCAAAAAAATGGAGACAAATCCCACAAAAAAAGGGGGGAAATTCCAGAAAAAATGGGAAAAAATCCAGAAAAAATGGGAAAAATTCCGATAAAAAAACGGAGACAAATCCCACCAAAAAATGGGAAAATTCTACAAAAAATGGGGGAAATTGCGATTAAAAAATTGAGACAAATCCCACCAAAAAAAAATTTGAAAATTCCACAAAAAAATGGGGACAAATCCCACAAAAAATGGGGAAAATTCCACAAAAAATGGGGGAAATTGCGATTAAAAAATTGAGACAAATCCCACCAAAAAAAAATTTGAAAATTCCACAAAAAAATGGGGACAAATCCCACAAAATATTAGGAAAACCTTTTAAAAATGGGGAAAATTCCACAAAAAAAGGAAAAAATTCCACAAAAATGGGGAAAATCCCACAAAAAATGGGGAAAATTCCACAAAAAATGGGGAAAATCACACACAAAATTGGGAAAATCCCATAAAAAATGGGGAAAATCCCATAAAAAAGGGGGAAAATTCCACAAAAAATGAGATAAAATCTCATAAAAAATGGGGGGAAATCTGCAAAAAAATGGAGACAAATCCCACAAAAAAAGGGGGGAAATTCCAGAAAAAATGGGAAAAAATCCAGAAAAAATGGGAAAAATTCCGATAAAAAAATAGAGACAAATCCCACCAAAAAAAAGGGAAAACTCCACAAAAAATGGGGAAAATTCAACAAAAAATGGGGAAAACTCTGATTAAAAAATGGAGACAAATCCCACAAAAAAAGGGGAAAATTCCACAAAAAACGGAGACAAATCCCACCAAAAAATGGGAAAATTCTACAAAAAATGGGGGAAATTGCGATTAAAAAATTGAGACAAATCCCACAAAAAAATAAATTTGAAAATTCCACAAAAAAATGGGGGAAATTCCACAAAAAATGGGGAAAATTCCACAAAAAATGGGGAAACCCTATTAAAAAATGGGGGGAAATCACACAAAAAATGAGGTAAAATCCCATAAAAAATGGGGACAAATCCCACAAAATATTAGGAAAACCTTTTAAAAATGGGGAAAATTCCACAAAAAAAAGGAAAAAATTCCACAAAAATGGGGAAAATCACACACGAAATTGGGAAAATTCCACAAAAATGGGGAAAATCCCACAAAAAATGGGGAAAATTCCACAAAAAATGGGGAAAATCACACACAAAATTGGGAAAATCCCATAAAAAATGGGGAAAATCCCACAAAAAATGGGGAAAATTCCACAAAAATGGGGAAAATCACCCACGAAATTGGGAAAATCCCATAAAAAATGGGGAAAATCCCATAAAACCACAAAAACCCCCCAAAACTCCCAATTCCCCCCTCTCCCAACCCCAGGAACGCCCGGCTCCAACGCGACCTCGGCGGCCGCTCCGGAAATGGCGGCGTTGGATCCCGGCGCCCTCTTCGCCAACCCCGACCTTCCGGAGCGCGAAACTTTCCGCTGGACCGTGGTGCAACAGATCGACCCCGGCGCGTCGTCGAAGAGCGGCAAAAGAAGCCCCAAATCCCAAAGTTTCTCCAACTTCAAGAGCATCATCGTCCTCCAGAAGAGCTACGAGTGCCCGGAGTGCGGCAAAACCTTCAGCTGCAGCTCCCACTTCTCCAAGCACCGCCGGACGCACACCGGGGAGAAACCCTTCCGGTGTTTCCACTGCGGCAAGAGCTTCAACGTCTCTTCCAACCTCTACCGGCACCAACGCGGCCACGGCGGCGCCGAGGCGGCGCCGGAGAAACGCCGCGGGCCGGCCTACGAGTGCCGGGAGTGCGGGAAGAGCTTCCGGCGGAACAAAGAGTTGGCCACCCATCAGCGGCTCCACACCGGGAATTTGCCGTTCCAGTGCGCCGACTGCGGGAAGAGTTTCTCCTGGAGCTCCCACTGGCTCCGGCACCAACGCATCCACACCGGCGAGAAACCCTACGAGTGCCCCGAGTGCGGGAAGAGCTTCTCGAGGAGCTCCCACCTCTACCGGCACCAGCGCGGCCACGCCGGCGGGCGCTCGTACATCTGCACCTACTGCGGGCGGAGTTTCGGCAGCATCCTCCATTTCGAGCGGCACCAGCGGACGCACAGCGGCGTGAGGCCCTACAAGTGCTCGCTGTGCCGGAAGAGCTTCGGCGACGCGCCGGCGTTGGTGAAGCACCAACGGATCCACCTCGGCGAGGGCCCCTTCCGCTGCGAGGAGTGCGGCAAAGCCTTCGGCGCCCGCTCGCAGTACGCGCGGCACCGGCGGAGTTTCCACGGCGGTCCCGGCGCCGAGAAGCCGTATCGGTGCGGGGATTGCGGGAAGAGTTTCTCCTGGAGCTCCCACTGGGAGAGGCACCAACGGATTCACACCGGCGAGAAGCCCTACGAGTGCGCCGAGTGCGGGAAGAGCTTCGGGAGGACGTCGCACCTCTACCGGCACCAGCGGACGCACGCCGGCGGTCGGCCCCACGTCTGCGGCGAGTGCGGGAAGAGTTTTAATTCCACGCTCCACTTCCAGAAGCATCAGCGGGCGCACGGCGCCGGGGCCCGGAAGAGTTGCGGCGAGTGCGGGAAGTCGTTCTCGGATCCGTCGGCGTTGGCCAAGCATCAGCGGGTTCACGAGGGGTCACAAAATGGTGGGAGATCCTTGGATGAATCCCAAAAATGTGGGAAATCTTTGGTTGGAACCCAAAAATCCTGCTCGGAATGTGGGAAATCCTTCTCGGATCCTTCGGCGTTGGCCAAGCATCAACGGGTCCATGAGGAATCCCAAAAAATTGAGAAATCCTTGGACGAATCCCAAAAAACTGGGAAATCTTTGGTTGGAACCCAAAAATCCTGCTCGGAGTGCGGGAAGTCGTTCTCGGATCCGTCGGCGTTGGCCAAGCATCAGCGGGTTCACGAGGGGTCACAAAATGGTGGGAGATCCTTGGTTGAGTCGTCAACGTTGGCCAAACGTCAACGGGTTCATGAGGATTCCCAAAAATCCTGCTCGGAATGCGGAAAAACCTTTGGAGACCCTTCAGCGTTGGCCAAGGATCAACGGGTCCATGAGGAATCCCAAAAAATTGGGAAATCCTTGGAGGAACCCCAAAAATGTGAAAAATCTTTGGTTGATTCATCAACGTTGGCCAAACGTCAACGGGTTCATGAGGATTCCCAAAAATCCTGCTCGGAATGCGGAAAAACCTTTGGAGACGCTTCAACGTTGGCCAAACATCAACGGCTCCATTAGGAATCCCAAAAAATTGGGAAATCCTTGGAGGAACCCCAAAAAAGTGGAAGAACCTTTGGAGATCCTTCACCGTTGGCCAAGATCCGACGGCTCCACGATTCCGGCCGGAATTCCGGGACGGGATCCCGGCTCCGGAGGAAGCTCCGGAGTCACGGAGACGAGGAAATGCCGGAAGGGTGAAAAGCAAAAACAAAAATTTCGGGAATTTTTTCCGACGTTTTGGTAGAGTAGGGAAGTAGGGTAGAAACGGCAAAAAAAAATTGAATTTTTGGGTTTTTTTCCGTGAGTTTTCCCAGGAAAAAAAATTGGAGAAAATCCCAGAATTTTGGGATTTTTTTTTTGGGGGGTAAAGCCCCGATCTGGAGGTTTTGAAGAAAATCGGGAATTTTTATTTATTGTATTTATTCAGCCGGAAGATCCCGAAAAATCGGGAAGGAAATCCCAAAATGAGGATGAAAAAATCGGGAGAAAAAAAAAGATTTGATCCCAAAAATTTTCTTGGATTGGGGTGGGGCCAAACGGGAATTCCGGGGTTTTTCCCCCCGGGGGTTTTTTGGGATTTTTTGGGTTTTTTTGGAATTTTGTTCTTTGTTTGTAATGTGAATAAAAAATAGATTTAGTGAGGAATTTGTGGAATTTTTTATTGGAGATGAAATGGGGGGAAATGGGAATAATCCCTGGGAAAATTGGGAATTTTGGGGAATTTTTTGGGGAATTTTGGGGCAAAATTTGGGGATTTTTTTGATATTTTTGGGCAAATCTTTGGGAATATTTTGGGAAATTTTGGGGCATTTTTTGGGCATTTTTGGGAATTTTTGAGCAAAATTTTGGGATTTTTTTTGATATTTTTTGGCAAATATTTGGGAATTTTTTGGGAAATTTTGGGGCATTTTTTGGGCATTTTTGGGAATTTTGGGGCAAATCTTGGGATTTTTTTGATATTTTTGGGCAAATATTTGGGAATATTTTGGGAATTTTTGGGGCATTTTTTGGGCATTTTTGGGAATTTTGGGGCAAATCTTGGGCAAATTTTTTGGATTTTTTTGATGTTTTGGGGCAAATCTTTGGGAATGTTTTGGGAATTTTGGGGGCATTTTTTGGGAATTTTTTGGGGGAAAATATTTGGGAATTCTTTTGGAATTTTTTTGATATTTTGGGAATTGTGGGGGCAAATCTTTGGGAATGTTTTGGGATTTTTGGGGCAAATCATTGGGAATATTTTGGGAATTTTTGGGGCATTTTTTTGGCATTTTGGGGAATTTTTTTGGGGAAATATTTAGGAATTATTTTGAGATTTTTGGGACAAATCTTTGGGAATATTTTGGGATTTTTTTGGGGAAAATATTTGGGAATTCTTTTGGAATTTTTTTGATATTTTGGGAATTGTGGGGGCAAATCTTTGGGAATGTTTTGGTAATTTTTGGGCATCCCTTGGGAATTTTTGGGGCATTTTTTTGGCATTTTGGGGAATTTTTTTGGGGAAATATTTAGGAATTATTTTGAGATTTTTGGGACAAATCTTTGGGAATATTTTGGGATTTTTTTCGGGAATTTTTTGGGCATCCCTTGGGAATTTTTGGGGTATTTGGGAATTTTTTTGGGGAAATCTTTAGGAATTCTTTGGGAATTTTTTTGATATTTTGGGAATTGTGGGGGCAAATCTTTGGGAAATCTTTGGGAATTCTTTGGGAATTTTTTTGATATTTTGGGAATTGTGGGGGCAAATCTTTGGGAATGTTTTGGGAATTTTGGGGTAAATTTTTGGTAATTTTTGGGGCATTTTTTGGGCATTTTTTGGGAATTCTTCAGGCATTTGGGAATTTTTTGGGGCAAATCTGGGAATTTTTTTTATATCTTGGGAATTGTGGGGGCAAATCTTTGGGAATGTTTTGGGATTTTGGGGGCAAATTTTGGGAATGTTTTGGGATTTTTGGGCATTTTTTGGGCATCCCTTGGGAATTTTGGGGGGCAAATCTTTGGGAATTCTTTTGGCATTTTTTTGGGGTAAATCTTTGGGAATTTCTGGGCGATTCCTTGGGAAGTTTTTGGAGGAGGAGGACAAGGAGGAGGATAAGAGAGGAGGAGGGAAGGGGGAGGGAGGAGGAGGAGGGAAGGGGGAGGGAGGAGGAAGAGGAGGAGGGGGAGAGGGAGGGGGAAGGAGGAGGAGGAGGAGGAGGAGGAGAGGGAGGAGGCGGCGGCTCCTCTGTATCCGGGTCACGCCGGGAGCCGCCTCCAGCGGGACCGGGACCGCGACCGGGAGCGGGAACGGAGCGGGAACGGGATTCGAACCGGGTCGGGAACGGGATCGGGTCCGGATCGGAATCGGGAACGGGACTGGGAGAGGGATCGGGATTCGAACCGGTGGGGAGCGGGTCCGGACCGGGAGCGGGATTCGAACCGGGTGGAGAACGGGATCGGGAGCGGGTCCGGACCGGGAGTTGGATCAGGATCGGGATTAGAACCGGGATCGGTTTCGGGATGGGGACCAGGTTGGGATCGGGGTTAGAACCGGGTCAGGATCAGGAGCGGGATCAGGACCGGGATTGAGTCCGGGATCAGATCCGGACAGAGATCGGATCCAGTTTGGGACCGGGAGCGGGATTCGAACCGGGTCAGGAGGGGTCTGGACCGGGAGCGGGATTCGAACCGGGAGTTGGATTAGGATCAGGATTAGAACCGGGATCGGTTTTGGGATCGGGACCAGGAGCTGGAACGGGATTGGGATTAGAACCGGGATCGGGACCAGGTTGGGATCGGGGTTAGAACCGGGTTGGGATCGGGATTGGGACCGGGATTGAGTCCCGGATCAGATCCGGACAGGGATCGGATCCAGTTTGGGACCGGGAGCGGGATTCGAACCGGGTCAGGAGGGGTTTGGGCCGGGAGCGGGATTCGAACCGGGTCAGGATCAGTTTCGGGATCGGTTTTGGTTTCGGGATCGGCACAGGGAGACCCCCAAAATTGGCGAGTCCCAAATCCAGCCCAAAATGTCCCGAAATCGTCCCAGAATTATCCCAAAATTCTTCCTCAAATCGTCCTAAATTTACCCCAAAATCCCCCCCCAAATACATCCCAAAATTATTCCCAGATCATCCCAAAATCCCCCCCCAAAATTTTCCCCCCAAATCCTTCCTGAAATTCCCCCAAATCATCCTAAAATTACCCCAAAAACCGGCGCATCCACACCGGGGAGAGGCCGCACCGCTGCGGCGACTGCGGCAAGGGCTTCATCCAGCGCTCCGACCTGGAGCGGCACCGGCGCGTCCACACCGGCGAGCGGCCCTACGCCTGCGGCGACTGCGGGAAACGCTTCAGTGTCAGCTCCCACCTGGACCGGCACCGCCGCACTCACGCCGGCGGGCCGGGGCCGCCAGAGCAGCCCCGCGCCAAAACCAAAACGCCGGCAGCGGAATCGGCGCCGCATCGCTGCCAGGAGTGCGGGAAGAGCTTCGGGCAGCGCTCGGCGCTGGCGAAACACCGCAAGACGCACACGGGCGAGCGGCCGCACCGCTGCGGCGACTGCGGCAAGAGCTTCAGCCGCGGCTCCAACCTGACGCAGCACCGGCGCATCCACACCGGCGAGCGCCCCTTCGCCTGCGGCGACTGCGGCAAGAGCTTCAGCCGCGGCTCCAACCTGACGCAGCACCGGCGCATCCACACCGGCGAGCGCCCCTTCGCCTGCGGCGACTGCGGCAAGCGCTTCAGCGTCAGCTCGCACCTGGACCGGCACCGGAAGATCCACGCGGCCGAACGCGCCTCGTACCGGTGCCCGGAGCACCTGGCCGGGTTTTTGGCGGCTCACCGGCACGGGAGGCTCTTCCAGTGCGGGCAGTGCGGGCGGTGTTTCGGGCAAGGCGCGGCGCTGTTGAAGCATCAGCGCTCTCACGGCGCCGGCGGTGCCGGCGGCTCGGCGGCGCCGAAATGCCTGGATTGCGGGAAAAACCGGGCGTTGTGCCAGGATTGCGGCCGCCAGCCGGAAACGGCGGCGGCGGCGGCGGCGGAGAAACCCTACAAGTGCGCGGAGTGCGGGAAAAGCTTCGGGCAGCGCTCGGCGCTGGTGAAACACCGGCGCATCCACACCGGCGAGAAACCCTACAAGTGCCCCGAGTGCTCCAAGGGCTTCATCCAAAAATCCGACCTCACCAAGCACCGGCGGATGCACACCGGGGAGAAGCCGTACGAGTGCCGCGAGTGCGGGAAGCGCTTCAGCGTCTCCTCCAACCTCCTGACCCACCAGAGGACCCATCTTGGAGAGAAACCCTTCCAGTGCTCCGAGTGCGGCAAGAGCTTCATCCAGCGCTCCGAGCTCACCATCCACCGGCGCGTCCACACCGGCGAGAAGCCCTACAAGTGCCGCGAGTGCGGGAAGTGCTTCAGCCGCAGCTCGCACCTCAACCGGCACCGCCGCACCCACGGCAAAGCCGCCGCCGCCGCCGCCTTCCCTCCTTCCTCCCCTCCTTCCTCCTCCTCCTTCCCTCCTTCCTCTTCCTTCCCTCCTTCTTCTTCCTCCTCCTTCCCTCCTTCCTCCTCCTCCTTCTCTTCTTCTTCTTCTTCCTCCTCCTCCTTCTCTTCTTCCTCTCCGTCCTTCTCCTCCTCCTCCTCGGCCTTCCCGCCCTTCCCGGCCTCCTCGGCCTTGGAGCTGCCCTGGGCGCTGGCGTTGCCGGGCCGGGCGTTCCCGGGGTTCCCGGTGGGTAATTAGGGAGGGGGTTAATTAGGGGTGGGGGGGGGTTGGCGGGGTGATTGGAGGGGGGAGATGGGGGAGCGGCGTGGTGCCGGTGGGGCGCCGGCGTTCCCAGTGCTCCCAGTGCCCGACTGGGCTCGGCCAACCCAACACCCAACCCTGGGCTTGGTCCCATTGAGTTCTCATGGCTAATTAACGATCTCTGATTAATTAGGGGTGAATTCACTCATTAATTAAATGAGGAAATGGGGATTTCCCATCATTCCATGGTTCTGGTTACCCCCAAAAGCCCCAAAGTCCTCCATTACCCCAAAAGCCCCCCAAGACCCCAAACCCCTCCAAGACCCCAAACCCCTCCAAGACCCCAAAATTCCCTCAAGACCACAAACACCTCCAAGACCCCAAACCCCCAAAAATCCCCAAGACCCCAAAATCCCTCCAAGACCCCAAACCCCTCCAAAACCCTAAACTCCCCAAAATCCCAAAATCCCCCAAAATCCCCCCAAAAACCCCAAATCCTCCAAGATCCCCAAACCCTCCAGGATCCCCAAAGTTCCCCAAGACCCCAAACCCCCCTCCAAGACCCCAAATCCCCCCAAAAAACCCCAAAAACCCCCCAAATCCCCTTTCTCCCTCTCCAGACGCCGTCCCGGCCTCACCGAGCGACAACGCCGAGCACGAGCCGCCTCCAAACCCCCTGGAAAAACCCCAAACCCCCGGCACGCCGCCGCCTCCCCACCCCAAACCCCCCCCGAGCCCCAGCGGCGCCAAACCCGCCACCCCAAAACCTCCACCCCGACCCCAAAAAACCAAATCCGCCTTGAAGAAATTCCACCTGCGCTGCCACGACTGCGGCAAAGCTTTGGCGCTGCCCAAGCGCCGGCGCGGGGCGGAATGACCCCATAAATGCCCGGAATGCGGGAAGAGTTTTAGGTTGGGCTCGAGTTTGGTGACGCACCAAAAGCGGCATTTGGGGGAAAATCCCTACAAATGTCCCGATTGCGGGAAATCCTTCAGCGTGGGCTCGGCGTTCATCCAGCACCGGCGGATCCACGCCGGCGCGGCGCCGTGCCGCTGCGGGGTTTGCGGGAAGAGCTTCCCGGTGAGTTCGGGGTTGGTGAAGCACCAAAAGGTTCACGCGGAGGAGAAACCCTACAAATGCGGCGATTGCGGCAAGGGGTTCAACTGGAATTCCCACCTGGAGCGCCACCGGAGGATTCACACCGGGGAGAAACCCTACGAGTGCCGGGAGTGCGGGAAGAGCTTTTCCTGGAGCTCCCACCTGGACCGGCACCGGCGAATCCACATGGGCGAGAAACCCTTCCGCTGCGGCAGCTGCGGGAAGAGTTTTTCCCAAAGCTCCCACCTGGAGCGGCACCGGAAAATCCACCGGGAGCCGTGCCGGGAATGCGGGAAGAACGAGGGGAGGAAAGAAGGGAAAAGCTTCCAAAAACGCTGCCGGGTTTCGGGAGGGGAGGAGGGATGCGGCGAGTGCGGGAAGAATTCGGGTTCGGCGCCGGATTTGGGGGCGAATCTGAAGGATCAAGGCACCCAAACCGGCGAGAAACCTTTTGTGTGCCCCGAGTGCGGCAAAAGCTTCGGGCAGAACTCGGCGCTGGCCAAGCACCGGCGGGTGCACACGGGTGAGAAGCCCTACAAGTGCGCGGAGTGCGGGAAGAGCTTCGGCGTGCGCTCCAACCTCATCAAGCACCAGCGCACGCACCTCGGCGAGAAACCCTACAAGTGCCCCGAGTGCTCCAAGGGCTTCATCCAAAAATCCGACCTCACCATCCACCGGCGGATGCACACCGGGGAGAAGCCGTACGAGTGCCGCGAGTGCGGGAAGCGCTTCAGCGTCTCCTCCAACCTCCTGACCCACCAGAGGACCCATCTCGGAGAGAAACCCTTCCAGTGCTCCGAGTGCGGCAAGAGCTTCATCCAGCGCTCCGAGCTCACCATCCACCGGCGCGTCCACACCGGCGAGAAGCCCTACAAGTGCCGCGAGTGCGGGAAGTGCTTCAGCCGCAGCTCGCACCTCAACCGGCACCGCCGCACCCACGGCAAAGCCGCCGCCGCCGCCTCCTTCCCTCCTTCCTCCCCTCCTTCCTCCTCCTCCTCCTTCCCTCCTTCCTCCTCCTTCCCTCCTTCTTCTTCCTCCTCCTTCTCTTCTTCTTCCTCCTCTTCCTTCCCTCCTTCCTCCTCCTCTTCCTTCCCTCCTTCCTCCTCCTCCTTCTCTTCTCCTTCCTCCTCCTCTTCCTTCCCTCCTTCCTCCTCCTCTTCCTTCCCTCCTTCCTCCTCCTCTTCCTTCCCTCCTTCCTCCTCCTCCTTCTCTTCTTCTTCCTCCTCCTCCTCCTTCTCTTCTTCCTCTCCGTCCTTCTCCTCCTCCTCCTCGGCCTTCCCGCCCTTCCCGGCCTCCTCGGCCTTGGAGCTGCCCTGGGCGCTGGCGTTGCCGGGCCGGGCGTTCCCGGGGTTCCCGGTGGGTAATTAGGGAGGGGGTTAATTAGGGGTGTGGGGGGGTTGGCGGGGTGATTGGAGGGGGGAGATGGGGGAGCGGCGTGGTGCCGGTGGGGCGCCGGCGTTCCCAGTGCTCCCAGTGCCCAACTGGGCTTGGCCAACCCAATACCCAGACTTGGGTTCATCCCATTGAGTTCTCATGGCTAATTAACGATCTCTGATTAATTAGGGGTGAATTCATTCATTAATTAAGCGGGAAATTGGGGAATTCCCAGCATTCCGGTCACTTCCTAGTGCTCCCAGTGCCCAACCGGGCTTGGCCAACCCAAGACGCGCCCTTGGGTCATTGGGGGAAATTTGGGAAAATTTGGGAAAAAGTGGGAAAAAAATGGAAAAATAACGGAAAAAAATGAGGGAAAATAATGGAAAAAAATGTGGGAAAATTTGGGAAAATAAAGGAAAAGTGGGAAAATGTGGAAAGAGAATGGAAAAAGAATGGAAAATGTCGGGAAATGGGGAAAAATGTGGGAAAATGTGGAAAAAATGTGGGAAAATAATGGGAAAAATGTGGGAAAATAATGGGAAAAATGTGGGAAAATATGGAAAAAATGTGGGAAAATAATGGGAAAAATGTGGGAAAATATGGAAAAAATGTGGGAAAATAATGGGAAAAATGTGGGAAAATAATGGGAAAAATGTGGGAAAATAATGGGAAAAATGTGGGAAAATAATGGGAAAAATGTGGGAAAATAATGGGAAAAATGTGGGAAAATAATGGGAAAAATGTGGGAAAATAATGGGAAAAATGTGGGAAAATAATGGGAAAAATGTGGGAAAATAATGGGAAAAATGTGGGAAAATAATGGGAAAAATGTGGGAAAATAATGGGAAAAATGTGGGAAAATAATGGGAAAAATGTGGGAAAATAATGGGAAAAATGTGGGAAAATAATGGGAAAAATGTGGGAAAATAATGGGAAAAATGTGGGAAAATAATGGGAAAAATGTGGGAAAATAATGGGAAAAATGTGGGAAAATAATGGGAAAAATGTGGGAAAATAATGGGAAAAATGTGGGAAAATAATGGGAAAAATGTGGGAAAATAATGGGAAAAATGTGGGAAAATAATGGGAAAAATGTGGGAAAATAATGGGAAATCTTCTTCCTCCTCCTCCCCTCCTCCTTCCTCCTCCTTCTTCTCTTCTTCTTCTTCCTCCTCCTCCTTCTCTTCTTCCTCTCCGTCCTTCTCCTCCTCCTCCTCGGCCTTCCCGCCCTTCCCGGCCTCCTCGGCCTTGGAGCTGCCCTGGGCGCTGGCGTTGCCGGGCCGGGCGTTCCCGGGGTTCCCGGTGGGTAATTAGGGAGGGGGTTAATTAGGGGTGTGGGGGGGTTGGCGGGGTGATTGGAGGGGGGAGATGGGGGAGCGGCGTGGTGCCGGTGGGGCGCCGGCGTTCCCAGTGCTCCCAGTGCCCGACTGGGCTCGGCCAACCCAACACCCAACCCTGGGCTTGGTCCCATTGAGTTCTCATGGCTAATTAACGATCTCTGATTAATTAGGGGTGAATTCATTCATTAATTAAGTGGGGACATGGGGATTTCCCATCATTCCGTGGTTCCGGTCACTTCCCAGTGCTCCCAGTGCCCAACTGGGCTTGGCCAACCCAACACCCAGCCTGGGCTTGGTCCCATTGAGTTCTCATGGCTAATTAACGATCTCTAATTAATTAGGGGTGAATTCATTCATTATTTAAGCAGGAATTTAGGGAATTCCCAGCATTCCGTGGTTCCAGTTGGTTCCCAGCATTCCCAGTGCTCCCAGTGCCCAACTGGGCTTGGCCAACCCAACACCCAGCCTTGGCTTGGTCCCATTGAGTTCTCATGGCTAATTAACGATCTCTAATTAATTAGGGGTGAATTCACTCATTAATTAAGTGGGGACATGGGGAATTCCCATCATTCCGTGGTTCCGGTCACTTCCCAGTGCTCCCAGTGCCCAACTGGGCTTGGCCAACCCAACACTGGGGGCTCTTCCCAAACTTCCAGTTCATAATTTTGGGGAAAAAAACCCAAAATTTGGGAAAAACCAAAAAAAAAAATTGGGGGAAAAAAACCCCCTAAAAATTGGGAAAAACAAAACAAAACAAAAAATTAGAAAAATCTCCCCCAAAATTGGGAAAAACATCAAATTTGGGAAAACCCTACAAATTCCAAGAAAGAAGCTCAAAAATTGATAAGAAAAAATTTAAAAATTGGGAAAAACCTTAAAAATTTTGGGAAAAATTTATGAAGTTGGGGGAAAAACTCAAAATTTGGGGAAAAATTTAAAGTGTAGGGGAAAAACCCCCAGAATTTGGGAAAATTGTCCCAAATTTGGGTCATGAGTGCCACCAAATGTGGGTTTGAGAGGAAAAATTGGATTTTCATTTGGATTTTTTTTTGTTTTTCCCAAAAAATGGGAACAAACTTGAGCTTTTTTTACCTTTTATTTCTTTTTTTAAATAAAAAATGCAATTTTTTCGGTTTTTTGTTACTTTTGTGACTTTGTATTCTCTGCGTCGGGTCAATAAAAATCCGACTTGGGCTGAAAATGCCAAAAATTGGGATTTTCTCATTATTTTTCCATAAAAATTTTGGGATAAAATGGCCAAAAATTGGGATTTTTTCCATAATTTTCCCCCCAATTCTGACCACAGGAAATTCCAATAAAGACACAACTCCCGTTAATAAATTCAATTGATGAGTTTAATTAATTAAAAACATTAAATAATGCCCCTGAAATGGGATCGCAATAAATAATCCAGAGGTAATTAATCAATAAATAATTAATAAATAGCAACAAATAAATAATGGCAAATAAATAATGACAAATAAATAATAAATAAATAGCAAATAAATAATTAGCAATAAATAATTAATAAATTCAGCAGCCACAGGTGCTGAAGCTGAGGTAGAGGTGACCTCGTTAATTAAAACCTCGTTAACGAGGCCAACCTGACCACGCCCCTTTCCAGTGCTCCCAGTGCCAAACTGGGATTGGGCAACCTCAAAATTCCAGCATGGGGCTTGTTCCCACCTTAATTGGCAGCTAATTAACGAGCTGGTCATTAATTAGCGGTTAATTAACCAGCTAATTAATCAGGGAATGGCAAAACCCCCCCCTCAATCCGTGACTCCGCCCCTTTCCAGTCCTCCCAGTTCCAAACTGGGATCGTCCCACGTCGGCGCCTTCTTCCAACCCGGAGCTCTTCGACCTTAATTAACGACCTCGTTAATTAATCCAGGGGGGCGTGGCCGTCCTGGGCGCCACCCCCAATTTGGGGGGGGGGGGTCCTCATCGTGTCCTGCTGCCAGCAGGGGGCGACGCAGGCGGTGACAAAGGTGACAACGCAGGTGACGCCAACACCGAGGGGCAGGAGCCACCCATGGGTGCCGCCACCGCCGTGCCGTTGGCGCTGCCGGCGGGGATTTGGGGTCCCTCTGGGACTGGGGGTGTCCCCAGGGGTGTCCTTGTCCCCCCCGAGGTGACATCGGCGACGTCACCCGGCGCGTTGTAGATCTGGGTGCCCACCACGGCCAGGAGGAGCAGCAGGAGTCGCTTGGCGGCGCTGGGTTCTTCCGAGGGGAGGGGGCGGCGCACCTGGAAGGGGGGGGAAGATTCCAAAGATGGGGTCAGGGATCACCAGGATGGGGGGAATTCCCGGCATTTTGGGGAAAATTCACGGAATTTTGGGAAAAATTCCTGTGGGAAATGGGATTAGAGATGGGGAAACGTGGATTAGGGAACCCATCCAAGTGGTGACCCGGGCAGGCCCTGCTTAGCTTCACAAAGGGTTTGGGGGAATTAACGCCCCCTGGGGCAAATAATTCCAATTTTTTTGGCAAATAATTCCCAATCTGGGATAAAAATTCCCTCTGGTTTTGGGTAAATAAATCTATTTTTGGGGAAAAAATCCCTTTTTACAGGAAAAAAGCCTCTTTTGGGTCAGGTTGAGGAACCCATCCAAGGGATGACCCTGGTGGACCCTGCTTAGCTTCACAAAGGGTTTGGTGGAATTAACGCCCCTTGGGGTAAATAATTTTATATTTTGGGGAAAATAAATCCTTTTTTGGGGCAAATAAATCAAATTTTTTGGCAAATAATTCCCATTTTTTGATAAAATTCCATTTGTTTTGGGGAAAATAAATCCATTTTTGGGGAAAAGAAAGCCCCTTTGGGTCAGGTTGGGGAACCCATCCAAGTGGTGACCCGGGCAGGCCCTGCTTAGCTTCACAAAGGGTTTGGGGGAATTAACGCCCCCTGGGGCAAAAATTCCAATTTTAGGGCAAATAATTCCCACTCTGGGATAAAAATTTCCTCTGTTTTTGGGTAAATATATCCATTTTTGGGAAAAAAAATCCCTTTTTATGGGAAAAAAGCCCCTTTTGGGTCAGGTTGGGGAACCCATCCAAGAGGTGACCTGGGCGGACCCTGCTTAGCTTCCAAAAAATAAATCCTTTTTTGGGGCAAATAAATCAAATTTTTTGGCAAATAATTCCCATTTTTTGATAAAATTCCATTTGTTTTGGGGAAAATAAATCCATTTTTGGGGAAAAGAAAGCCCCTTTGGGTCAGGTTGGGGAACCCATCCAAGTGGTGACCCGGGCAGACCCTGCTTAGCTTCACAAGGGGTTTGGGGGAATTAACGCTCCCTGGGGCAAAAATTCCAATTTTAGGGCAAATAATTCCCACTCTGGGATAAAAATTTCCTCTGTTTTTGGGTAAATATATCCATTTTTGGGAAAAAAAATCCCTTTTTATGGGAAAAAAGCCCCTTTTGGGTCAGGTTGGGGAACCCATCCAAGAGGTGACCTGGGCGGACCCTGCTTAGCTTCCAAAAGGGTTTGGGGGAATTAACACCCCTTGGGGTAAATAATTTATATTTTGGGGCAAGGTAATCCCTTTTTGAGGCAAATTAATCCCATTTTGGGATAAAATTCCATTTGTTTTGGGGGAAAATAAATCCATTTTTGGGGAAAAAAGTCCCTTTTTGGGGTAAATATTTCCCTAGTCAGATTGGGGAACCCATCCAAGGGTTGACCTGGGTGGACCCTGCTTAGCTTCCCAAGAGTTTGGGGAAATTAACCCCCCCTGGGGTAAATAATTCCAATTTTGGGGCAAATAATTCCCACTCTGGGATAAAAATTCCCTCTGGTTTTGGGTAAATAAATGCCACTTGGGGAATTTTTGGTGGAATAAATCCTTTTTTTGGGTAAATATTCCCCTAGTCAGGTTGGGGAACCCATCCAAGGGGTGACCCTGGCGGACCCTGCTTAGCTTCACAAAAGGTTTGGGGGAATTAACACCCCCTGGGGTAAATAATTCCAATTTTGGGTCAAATAAATCCCACTCTGGGATAAAAATTCCATCTTTTTTTATTAAAGTGACCTGGGTGGACTCTGCTTAGCTTCCCAAAAGGTTTGGGAGAATTAACCCCCTCTGAGGCAAATAATTCCAATTTTAGGGCAAATAATTCCCACTCTGGGATAAAAATTCCCTCTGGTTTTGGGTAAATAAATGCCACTTGGGGAATTTTTGGTGGAATAAATCCTTTTTTTGGGTAAATATTCCCCTAGTCAGGTTGGGGAACCCATCCAAGGGGTGACCCTGGGGGACCCTGCTTAGCTTCACAAAAGGTTTGGGGGAATTAACACCCCCTGGGGTAAATAATTCCAATTTTGGGTCAAATAAATCCCACTCTGGGATAAAAATTCCATCTTTTTTTATTAAATAAATCCCAGTGTGGAGCAAAGAATCGGCGGGGAGGGGCCCAAATCCTCGCCGAGGGTGCCAGGAAAGGCTGAGTCAGAGCGGAGAGGGTGGAAGTGACTCAGCCTCCCCCACCCCTGCGGGAAATGAGGCCAATTTTGGATTCCGGCCGGGGAATTCCTGGAATTTGGGATTTGGGAGGGGTTTGGGGGGGATCTATAGGGGATTTGGGGGGTACAGGGGGATCTGTAGGGGATTTGGGGGTATAGGGAGGTCAAATAAATCCCAGCGTGGAGCAAAGAATCGGCGGGGAGGGGCCCAAATCCTCGCCGAGGGTGCCAGGAAAGGCTGAGTCAGAGCGGAGAGGGTGGAAGTGACTCAGCCTCCCCCACCCCTGCGGGAAATGAGGCCAATTTTGGATTCCGGCCGGGGAATTCCTGGAATTTGGGATTTGGGAGGGGTTTGGGGGGGATCTATAGGGGATTTGGGGGGTACAGGGGGATCTGTAGGGGATTTGGGGGTATAGGGAGCTTTGGGAGGGGGAGTTTGGGGGGTTTAGGGGGAATTTGGGAAAGTTTGGGACGAGTTTTGGGGATTTTGGGGGAATTTGGGGGAGTTTAGGACGAGTTTGGGGGGTTAGAGGAAATCTGGGGGAGTTTAGGAAGGATTTGGGGAAGTTTAGGACGAGTTTTGGGGCAATTCAGGAAGAATCTGGAGTTTAGGACGAGTTTGGAGGAGTTTAGGGCGAGTTTGGGGGGAATTTAGGACGAGTTTGGGGGGATTTAGGACGAGTTTGGAGGGGGTTTAGGGCGAGTTTGAGAAATTTAGGGAGGCTTAGGGCAGATTTGAGGGGGTTCAGGGCCATTTTGAGGGGGAACGCGGCGAGTTTGGGAAATTTAGGGCAAACTTTAGAAGTTTGAGGCGAATTTGGAGGAAGTTTGGGGAAAATTTTAGACGTTTTGGGCAATTTTTACAATTTTTTTGGCGAATTTGGGCATGTACAGGGGGGTTTAAGCGAGGCTATAGGCGACTTCTGATATCTATAGGGGATTTAAGGGATATAGGGTGAACCAAACCACCCCAAAAACTCCAAATTCAGGCAAAACCCCCCCAAAAAAACCCCGAAAAAATCCCTCCCATACTGGGAAAAATCGGGTAAAGAACGCGACGATGCCGCCGCCGAGGCCTGGAGGGGCCGGGGGGCGGCGGGAGGGGTTCGAAGGTGAAGTGACGAGGTGGGGACGGTGCCACCCCCTTGGGGACACCCTCGGGATGTCCCCAAATCCGCCCCGGACACCTCGCGGTGGCCGCGACCGCCGCTACCATCGACATGGCGAAAAGGAAATGCCGGGATTCGAACCCGCGGCCTCGGGGTTATAACAGGGGGTGAAAGCCACGCCCACGGTGGGATTTGATTGGTGGAGAGGTGAGGGGGCGGGGTTTGAGGAGGCCACGCCCACGTGGGGAAATTCCCGATTTTTGAGTCACGGATTTTGCGTCATTCCCGGGGAAAAAAATCGGGAATTTTGGGGGGAAAACGCGGGAATTTTATGGGGAAATTCCCGGGAATTATAGAGGGAAAAAAGGGGATTTTTACTGGGGGGGAAAGAGGGAATTTTGGGGGGAAAAAGGGATTTTTTTGGGGAAAAAATGGGGATTTTTGGGGGAAAATTTGGGATTTTTGGGGGAGAATTGGGGATTTTGGAGGGAAAGAAAGAATTCGATTAAATAAATTTAAATGGAAATCTTTATTAAGGTTTATTTAAAGGAAAGGAATGCAGTGAAATGAAGGATTTTTATTAAAAATGGGAAATTTTCCCTGAAAAGATGAAAAAAAATCTTAAAAAAAGCTCCAAAAATGTTAAAAAATAAAACCCCAAACTAATAAAAAAAAGCCCTAAAAAGGCTGAAAAAATTTGAACAAAAAATTCTTTAAAAGCTCAAAATAAAAATCTCAAAAAATGAGGAAAAAATGCCCAAAAAATCCCAAATATTCCCTAAAAAAGGCTCCAAAATTTCCTAAAAAAACTCCAAAAAAAAGCTCCAAAATTCCATTTTTTTTTGCTCCTGATTTTGTCCCTCGGTGGCCTCGACCTGCAGGAGGGAAAAAACCCAAAATTCCTGAAATTTCTCCCAAAAATCAACAAAATTTCTCCCAAAATTAACAAAAATTCCTGAAATTTACCAAAAATTAATTAAAAATCCTGAAATTTACCCCAAAATTATTCAAATTCTTCTCCAAAATGCCCAAATTTGTCCCTGAAAATAGAAATTTTCCTCAAATTCCCCAAATTTCACTCAAAATCCCCCCAAAATCTCAGAATTTCTCCCCAAATTGACAAAAAAAATCCTGGAATTTCTCAAAAAAAAGAAGGAATTTTCCCTGTAATTCCTGGATTTTATCAAAACCTCCCAAATTTTATCAAAAAATCCCAAATTTTATCCCAAAAAGTTCCAAAATTTTATCCAAATATACCCAAAAATTCCAAATTTTATCAAAAAATCCCTAAAAATTCCAATTTTCAACACAAAAATCCCAAAGTTTTACCCAAAAAATTCCAATTTTCATCCCCAAAATCTCCCAAATCTGGAAGATTTCATCCCAAAATCCAAAATTTATTCCCAAAAATCCCCAAATTTCCCCCCAAAATCCCAAATTTAATCCAAAATCCCACAATTTTACCCCAAAATCCCACAAATTCCCAAAAAATCCCCAAAATTTCATCCAAAATCCCAAAATTTTACCCCAAAATCCCCAAATTCGCCCAAAAAATCCCAAAATTTCATCCCAAAACCCCAAATTTACAAAAAAATCCAAAATTTCCCCCAAAAAACCAAATTTAATCAAAAAAATTCCAATTTTCATCCCAAAAATCGCCCAAATTCCAAAAAAAATCCCAAAATTTCATCCCAAAACCCCAAATTTACAAAAAAATCCAAAATTTCCCCCAAAAAACCAAATTTAATCAAAAAAATTCCAATTTTCATCCCAAAAATCGCCCAAATTCCAAAAAAAATCCCAAAATTTCATTCCAAAACCCCAAATTTCATCAAAAAATCCCAAATTTCCCCCCAAAATCCCAAATTTAATCCAAAATCCCACAATTTTACCCCAAAATCCCACAAATTCCCAAAAAATTCCCAAAATTTCATCCAAAATCCCAAAATTTTACCCCAAAATCCCCAAATTCGCCCCAAAAAATCCCAAAATTTCATCCCAAACCCCCAAATTTACAAAAAAATCCCAAATTTCCCCCCAAAAAACCAAATTTAATAAAAAAATTTCCAATTTTCATCCCCAAAATCGCCCAAATTAAAAAAAATCCCCAAATTTTACCCCAAAATCCCCAAATTTCCCAAAAACCAAATTTCATCCAAATATTCCAATTTTCTACCCCAAAATCCCTCAAATTCCAAAAAAATCCAAAAATTTCATTCTAAAATCCCAAAGTTTATCCAAAAATGCCAAATTTTCCCCAAAAAACCCAAATTTAATCAAAATATTCCAATTTTCATCCCCAAAATTTCATCCAAAATCCCCAATTTTTACCCCAAAATCCCCAAATTTCCCAAAAAAATCCCAACATTTCATTCCAAAATCCCAAAATTTATCCAAAAATCCCAGATTTCCACCCAAATTTAATCCAAATATTCCAATTTTCACCCCAAAAATTGTCCAAATTCTAAAAAAAATCCCCCAAATTCCCCAAATTTTCCCCCAAAATCCCCAAATTTCATCCCAGAAATGCCCCAAAATTCCGATTTTTTCCCCCAATTTTGTGTCGGGCTCCGTTCCTGGGGTGGTTCCCATTGGAAAATTTGGGAATTCCCCAAATTTTGGGAATTTTGTCCCAATTTTCTGCCTCCGGTTCTAAAAATCCCAACATTTCATTCCAAAATCCCAAAATTTATCCAAAAATCCCAAATTTCCACCCAAATTTAATCCAAATATTCCAATTTTCATCCCAAAAATTGCCCAAATTCCAAAAAATTCCCCAAATTTTCCCCCAAAATCCCCAAATTTCCCAAAAAAATCCCAACATTTCATTCCAAAATCCCAAAATTTATCCAAAAATCCCAAATTTCCACCCAAATTTAATCCAAATATTCCAATTTTCATCCCAAAAATTGCCCAAATTCCAAAAAATTCCCCAAATTTTCCCCCAAAATCCCCAAATTTCATCCCAGAAATGCCCCAAAATTCCGATTTTTTCCCCCAATTTTGTGTCGGGCTCCGTTCCTGGGGTGGTTCCCATTGGAAAATTTGGGAATTCCCCAAATTTTGGGAATTTTGTCCCAATTTTCTGCCTCCGGTTCTTACGTGGAGGGGCCACGAGAGACCCCCACGCCTTTGGGGGAGGGGTCCTAAAATTCCCAAAAAAGTCCCAAAATGTCCCCAAAAAATCCCCCAAAATTAAGAAAAAAATTTCCCAAACTTCCCCCAAAAAATCCCAAAATATTTCACCCAAAAATCTAAAAAAAATCCCCAAAAAATCCCCAAAAAAGAAGAAAAAAATTCCCCCCAAATTCCCACAATATCCCCAAAAAAATCCCCAAAAATTAAGAAAAAAAATTTCCCAAATTTCCTCAAAAATCCCAAAATATTTCACCCAAAAATCTAAAAAAAATCCCCAAAAAAGAAGAAAAAAAATCCAAAAAATGAAGAAAAAAAATCCCCAAAAATTAAGAAAAAAAATTTCCCAAATTTCCTCAAAAATCCCAAAATATTTCACCCAAAAATCTAAAAAAAATCCCCAAAAAAGAAGAAAAAAAAATCCAAAAAATGAAGGAAAAAAGTCCCCAAAAATTCCCAAAAATTAAGAAAAAAATTTTCCAAATTTCCTCAAAAAATCCCAAAATATTTCACCCAAAAATCTAAAAAAAATCCCCAAAAATTAAGAAAAAAATTCCCCAAAAAATAAGAAAAAAGTTTCCCAAAAATTCACAAAAAATCCCAAAATATTTCACCCAAAAATCTAAAAAAAATCCCCAAAAAAGAAAAAAAATTCCCAAAAAATAAGAAAAAAGTTTCCCAAATTTCCCCCAAAAATCCCAAAATATTTCACCCAAAAATTAAAAAAAAATCCCCAAAAAACATCAGAAAATCCCCCCAAAAATATTCCAAAATTTTCCCCCCAAAATTCCCAAAATTTTATCCAAAATAATCCCAAAATATTTTCCCAAAAACCAAAGAAATTCCCCCAAAAAATTCACCTTAAAAATCCTAAAATATTCCCAAATTTCACCAAAAAATTCCCAAATATTCCCCAAAAGTCCCAATAAAATCCCCCCAAAAATAAAAAATAAATTTTAATAAATTCCCCAAAAATCCGGGAATTCCAAACTCCAGGGATTTTTCCCCAAAATTCCACGACTTTTTCCTAAAATTCCAGGATTTTCCCAAAAAAATTCCACCCTATTCCCCCCCCCCCCAAAAACCTTTTTGTTTTCCAAAAAATTCCAGGTTTTTTCCCAAAAAAAATTCCACCTTTTTCCCCAAAATTTCACCTTTTTTTCCCCAAAATTTCACATTTTTTCCCCCAAAATTTCACCTTTTTTTTCCCCCAAAATATCACCTTTTTTTTCCAAAATTTCACCTTTTTTTCCCCAAAATTTCACATTTTTTCCCCCAAAATTTCACCTTTTTTTTCCCCCAAAATATCACCTTTTTTTTCCAAAATTTCACCTTTTTTTCCCCAAAATTTCACCTTTTTTCCCCCCTATAGGACATATAGCCCCCTATAGAATGTACAGGGTCCCCTATAGGATTTATAGGGTGTGTAGGGACTGGTGTGTGCCAGATCCCCCATAAAATGTGCAGGATCCCCTATAGGGTATTCCCCCCCCCAAAAAACCTTTAAAAAAATTCCAGGTTTTTCCCCAAAAAAATTCCACCTTTTTCCTCAAAATTTCACCTTTTTTTCCCCAAAATTTCACCTTTTTTCCCCCCCTATAGGATATATAGCCCCCTATAGAATGTACAGGATCCCCTATAGGATTTATAGGGTGTGTAGGGACTGGTGTGTGCCAGATCCCCCATAAAATGTGCAGGATCCCCTATAGAATACATAGAACTCCCTATAGAATGTGCAGGATCCCCTGTAGGATGTATAGAATCCCCCCATAGAATGTGCAGGATCTCCTACACAATGTACAGAATCCCCTATAGAATGTGCAGGATCCAAAATTTCACTTTTTCCCCAAAATTTCACCTTTTTTCCCCCCCTATAGGATATATAGCCCCCTATAGAATGTACAGGATCCCCTATAGAATACATAGAACTCCCTATAGAATGTGCAGGATCCCCCATAAAATGTGCAGGATCCCCTATAGAATACATAGAACTCCCTATAGAATGTGTAGGTGACCCCTAGAAAACGTGCAGGATCCCCTGTAGGATGTATAGAATCCCCTATAGAATGTGCAGGATCTCCTACACAATGTACAGAATCCCCTATAGAATGTGCAGGATCCCCTATAGGATGTGTAGGGCCCCCTGCAGAATGTGTACATGACCCCTATGGGATATACAGGATCCCCTATAGGGTGTGTGAGGACTGGTGTGTGCCAGATCCCCTATAGGATGTATAGAATCCCCCATAGAATGTGCAGGATCCCTAGTAGAATGTAGCAGAATGTATAGAATCCCCTATAGAATGTGCAGGATCTGTGCAGGATCTCCTGCAGAATGTATAGAATCCCTTATAGAATGTGTAGAACCCTCATAGAATGTGCAGGATCTCCTGCAGAATGTATAGAATCCCCTATAGAATGTGCAGGATCCCTAGTAGAATGTATAGAATCCCCTATAGAATGTGCAGGATCCCCCATAGAATGTGCAGGATCCCCTACAGAATGTATAGAACACCCTGTAGAATGTGCAGGATCTCCTATAGAATGTATACAATCCCCTGTAGCACATGCAGAATCCCCTATAGAATGTGCAGGATCTCCTATAGAATGTATACAATCCCCTACAGCACAGGTAGAATCCCCTATAGAATGTGTAGAATCCCCCATAGAATGTGCAGGATCTCCTAAAGAATGTATAGAATCCCTTATAGAATGTGTAGAATCCCCACAGAATGTGCAGGATCCCCTGCAGAATGTATACAACCCCCTATACAATGTGGAGGTGACCCCTATAGGATATATAGGATCCCCCATAGGGTGTGTAGGACCCCCTACAGAGTGTATAGAATCCCCTATAAAATGTATAGAATCCCCTACCGAATGTATAGAACCCTCATAGAATGTGCAGGATCCCCTGCAGAATGTATAGAACACCCTGTAGAATGTATACAATCCCCTATAGAATGTGTAGAATCCCCCACAGAATGTGCAGGATCTCCTACAGAATGTATAGAATCCCTTACAGAATGTATAGAACACCCTGTAGAATGTGCAGGATCCCCTGTAGAATGTATAGAACACCCTATAGAATGTGCAGGATCCCCTGTAGAATGTATACAATCCCCTATAGAATGTGTAGAATCCCCCACAGAATGTGCAGGATCTCCTACAGAATGTATAGAATCCCTTACAGAATGTATAGAACACCCTGTAGAATGTATACAATCCCCTATACAATGTGTAGGTGACCCCTATAGGGTCGGGTCCCTCACCTAAGATGGCGCCGGGTCACGTGACAGCCTCCCCCCTTCCCCACAAAGAAACAACGGCGCCATTTCAGCCCCAAAAATCACCTTTTTTTTTTCTATTTTTTTTTTCTTTTTTCCACCCAAAGCCGCGCCCTGGCCGCCTCCCACCGCGCGGCGGAGCTGCGGGCGCCGAGGATTCCTCCGGGGCTGCGGAAGAAAGAGCGGAGTCAGAGCGGGGCGAACGCGCGGGAGCCGCTCCGGGAGGATCCCGGCCACGATCCCGGGGCGGCGGCGGCGGCGGCTCAGGGCGCTGCGAGTGTGTCCTCACGGCGGATCGGAGGATTTGAACCGGTTCCTCATCGCCGCCGCCGCCGCTGTGGAAATGTGGGGAGGGGTCCCGGGGGGTCTTACCGGGGGTCTCGGCGCGGTCCCGCCGGTCACCGGCACCTGCGGCAGAGGAACGGGGTGAGAGGCGCGGTTCGGGGGGACCCGGGGGGGATTCAGAGGGGGCTGGGGGCGTCGCTCAGGCCGGTGCTGTCCTCAGGGGGCTCGGAGACTCTAGTCTTTGGCATCATCACCGCGACAGCCCCCCACAAAAGTGACCGGGAACCCCAAATCCTCCACCTCGCCGGGCCAGCGTTTTGTTTGCCCGCAGAGACAGCCAAAAATCCCCCCCAACACCGGTGGCGAGAGAGCCCGGATTGCCCAGAGAGCCCCGATCCCCCCTCACGATCCCCAAATTCAAGTCATGACCCCCGATCTCCCCTCACGACCCCCGAATCCCCCTCAGAACCCCCGATCTACCCTCACGATCCCCAATTCCCGTCATAACCCTCCCCTCAAGACCCCGGATCTCCTCTCACGAGTCCCGATCTCCCCTCACTACCCCCGAATCCCCTTCAGAACCTCCGATCCCCCCTCATGATCCCCGATCTCCCCTCAAGATCTCAAACTCCCGCCATAACCCTCGACCAAGACACCCGAATCCTCCTCAGAACCCTCTATCTCCCCTCACGACCCCCGATTTTCCCTCACGACCCTCGATTTCACCCCTCAGAACTCCCAATTTCCCCTCACGATCCCTAAATCCCCCTCAGAACCCCCGATCCCCCCTCAGA